TCGTCTGCGCTTAAGCACCGAGTATTGGCGCTTAAGCGCCAATACTTGATTTAGAACTGAGCAACTTAACATCCAAATAATCATTCTAACACATCTAAGTCACTTAATAAAAGTCACTTAATAAAGATCTAAGTCACTTAATAAAGACTTAAAATCATTACTAACATGAAATAGTCTCAAAAATACTACCCCAATTTTTCTTAATCACACATAAAAAATAATCAAAGCAAAAGCACTCTGATACGTGCTTATTCTGGTTGATCCAACGTCACTCAATCGTTAAATTTAAGTTGATCCCCTATAAAATACGGTTTCAGTCTATGAGCATTCACTTTAAATATTTTCTTAGTTTTAGGATCTTTGATATCCATAGCTCCATAAGGATAAACTTTCATCGCAAAAAATGGGCCCATCCACCTAAACTTAAGTTTGCCTAGAAATAATCTTAATCTTGCATTATATAGCAAAACTTGTTGCCCTGACTGAAAATTTTTAGTAAGAATCCTTCGATCATGCCACATCTTCCTCTTTTCTTTATAAATTTTAGCACTTTCATAATACTCATTCCTTATTTCTTCAAGCTCATTTATTAATAATAATCTTTTCTCACCACCATCTTACAAATTATAATTGAACTCTTTAATCGTTTAATATGCTTTATGCTCAAGTTCAACTAGTAAGTGATAAGCTTTTGCAAATATTAGCCAAATAGGGACATTCCTATAGGAGTTCTATATGCAGTCCTATAAGCCCACAAAGCATAGTCAAGTTTGATTGACCAATTTTTTTTGGATTTACAGATTTTTCCATAATTCTTTTAATTTCACGATTGGATAATTCAGCCAAACCACTTATCTGAGGATGATAAGCAGTAGCAATCATATGGTTTATATGATATTTCTTTAACAATTTCTCCATTATGACATTTATGAAATTACTTCCCCCATCTATTATGATAAATCTTGACATCCCAAATCTGTAAAATATGTTTGTTTTCAAAAACTTTGCAACACTTAGAGCATCACATCGAGGTAAAGCAACAACTTCTATCCATTTTGATACATAGTCCACTGCTAACAGTGTATATAAATTTCTGAAAGATGGTATAAATGGTCTCATGAAATCTAATCCCCAAAAATCAAATATTTTAACTTCTAGCATATAATTGAGGGGCATCTCATTTCTTCTAGAAATATTGCCTACACGTTGACATCTATCACAAGTTTTGATATAAGCATTAACATCTCTGAAGATTATAGACTAATAAAATCAAGATTGTAAAATTTTGTATGCTATTTTATCAACACTAAAATGTCCCCCAAAATCAGAATTATGACATTTTATGATAATTTCATAAGTCTCTTCTAGAGGCACACATCTTCAAATAATCAGATCCTTCCCTTTTTTTATATATAAATAAGTCATCCCAAAAATAAGTCTTAGCTTCAGATATAAATTTTCTTTTCTGTTGGTATGTCATTCTATAGGGTATAACATCACTAATAAGAAAGTTCTCAGTATCAGCATACCACCGAACACGCCACTCATTAATACTGAACAATTTTTCATTTGGAAAATGTTCATTAATTTCTCTTTTCAAAAAAAGAGTGGTTTTTCTAATTCAAAGATGGACAAATGATCAGCAATTTAATTTTCAGTCCCCTTTCTATCTACTATTTTAAAGTCAAATTTTTGCAAAAGAAGAACCCATCTTATAAGTCCAGGTTTAGCATCTTTCTTTTTCATTAATTACTTAATAAAAGAAAGATCTGTATGCACTATACATTTAGTTCTAATTAAGTATGATCTAAGTTTATCAAAAGCATATACTATTGCTAATAACTCTTTCTCAGTTATTATATATTTAATTTGGGCTTCGTTCAGAGTTTTACTAGCATAGTAAATTACTTTGAAAATTTTATCATATCTTTGTCTTAAAATAGCTTCAATAGCATAATCACTAGCATCAAACATCAATTCAAAGGGGTTTCCCCAATCTGGTGAAACTATAATTGGTTTAGTGACTAATTTTTTTGTTAATTTTTTTTGTTAATAACTCAAAATTTGTTAATAACTCAAAATCTTTTAGGCATTCTTTATCAAAATTGAAAATTGCATCTTTCTCCAGTAAATGGCATAAAGGTTCACATATGAAAGATATTTTGAACAAGAAAAGGAAGTTCACCGATAATAAGACAGTTGCACTTAGCAAAGAGTGTAGTACAATTATTCAGAAAAAGCTTCCTAAAAAATTAAAAGATCCAGGTAGTTTCACTATACCGTGTGCTATCGGTGAAAAATTTTATGGAAGAGCTTTATGTGATTTGGGAGCCAGCATTAATCTTATGCCTCTATCAATTTTCAGAAGATTAGGATTAGGAGAAGTCTCACCTACTTATGTAACTCTTCAGTTAGCAGATCATTAAGTTAATTATCCTAAGGGAGTTATAGAAGATGTGATAGTAAAAGTTGATAAAATTATATTTCCTGTGGATTTTACTGTTTTAGATATGAAGGAAGATAAAGAAGATAGCAATAAGCCTATCATTTGGATAAATAGTTATAGACTTCAGTGTAGTCAGCCCAAGATAAATTAAATCAACCCAAACTACAATCTAAAGCAGCAGCAACCAACTGATTACATCTAAAAACCAATGAGGGGATGAGGTGGGGGGCCAGTCATCTCACCAAAGTAGGAGTTGCTAAAACACACCCAAACCCCAAATAATATAGTTTTTCTGCCAAAGTACTGCATTCATTAAATCTAGAAGCTGACAAAACTTCACCAGACTACTAACCTAAGGTATATCACATGTAACAATAGTATGCGCAGATTCAAATATTTATAATTAAAGTTTACAATAAAAGGCCAAGACAAACTATACTGCACCAGAGACAAGAAAACCTTGGCCGATAGGTGTTCCAGTACAAATGAATGTATAATTAAAGCTCGTAAAGCCATCATATATAGAGCAAAACAACCTAATTTCTACTATATCCAACAATGAAAGAAATAATAGTAGACAACGCTAATAGCGAGGGACACAGCCGTCAATAACACTACCAATTTGAGGGCTACACCTGGCAAAACCACCATGAATAACTCCATCTTGAATAACAACACCAATACAACCGTGAATAACACCACCATAGGCGTTGAAAGCCTAGTAGTATAACCCGACAATAACAGCAACAATACAACTGTGAATAACACCACCATGAATAAGCCACATTGCATAACACCACCAATACAACCATGAATAACACCACCAAAACACCCGGTAGTATTATCCGGCAATAGCAGCAACAATGCAACCGTGAGTAACCCCACATTGACAAACACCACCAATACAACCACGAAAAACACCACCAAAACATTTGGATCAGCTGATCTACAGAGTTTAGGCACCTATACTTACCAAGGTATGCACTGTTTCTGTTTATTGGTTTGTTTTTCTATTTTTCTTTGTTACTTGATTTAGGTAAAACTATTTTGGGGAGATTCTTTATAGAGATAAATAAAAAGAGTATACTTTTTGGAGAATTTTTTTAGGTTATACTTGTATTATTTTGGGAGATCCTTTTTGGCATTGAGTTGTATTCATTGTTGTGGAATCCAATGTGTGCGTATTGTATTTTTTTGGGTTTTGGTATTGGGATCCATATTCACACACACACACACACACACACACACACACACACACACACACACACACACACACACACACACACACACACACACACACACACACACACACACACACACACACACACACACACACACACACACACACACACACACACA